TCTGGCAACGGAGGAATATCATATATAAGCATATAAATATACTGTATACAAACATTGCATATATATATATATATATATATATATATATATATATATATTTACATATATATATATATATATATATACATATACATACACACATTTCTCATACTCAGGACCCTTTTTATAGCTTATGCTGCCACGGATTGCTATTGTCATCCTTTAAGTAATTGGGTATATTCATATGGGTAGTCCTCTACACTAGGTCCCCTGTCTAGGTCCCACAAGCAATAGTTACGACACCCTTCGGAAAGTGAGCCTAAGGGACCCTAATTTAGGGTTCAGGGGTTTAGGGTTCAGGGGCTTAGGGGTTTAGGGTTCAGGGGTTCAGGGCTTAGGGTTCAGAGGGTTATGGAGAACTAACTCTGGAGCCTCAAGTCTCGCCCTCCGTCGTTGCCAGGTGGGGTGACAAGGGATACTTCTACATGCCCTTCGTCCCTTGGCAAGCCCTTGATAGGGTTCAGGGTTTGGGGTTTAGGGCCCTTCGTCCCTTGGCAAGCTCTTTGTAGAGGGGGTCGGGTGTTTGTCGGTTCGGGTTCGTTTAGAGCCCCCTAAACCCTAAACACTTTGCGTTTGCTGTGTTGGAGCTTTCGGAAAGTCAACGGTCAACGGTCCGAAACTCAGACCCAAAGCCCAGGAAACATTCCGTCGTGACACGACATGCCCACGTTCAACCTTGAAGACTAAGCCCTAACCCCTAAACCCTAACCCTTAAACCCTAAACCCTAAACCGTAACCCCTAGACCCTTAAACCAAAAACGAAGTGCCAAGCAAGAGACAGGAAGCTGAGACCCCCCCAACCCCCCACACTAAAGCCTGGGCCTTCTTATGAAACAAATCCGAGACTTGGTGTCGGGTTTTGGGATTTAGGGCTTAGGGTTCCGTGCTGATTCCCAACCCCGTGATGGGCTGTACCAAGTACAACAGACCTCATTTCTCATGATCTCCTTCATAATCCACACCACGGAGTACTGGGCAACTACTGTGGGTGGATTCTGGGCTTTGGCATGAACATCCCGCTCCAGCCCTAGGGTCCAAACCATAGCCATAGTCCGTTGATCCACACCCGAAGTGCGAAACGACTACACAAGCCAGGAGTATATCTGCAATCCGGACCTCGCACACGACTTCTGGTCCATCGAGTGGGTGAAGTCCTTCGAAGATGCAGGATGCTGCAGGGTTGAAGGTCTACCAAGCATCAGCCGTTTGAGGAAGGCCCAGATGCACTGAGTCAAGTTGCAAGCGGGTATGGACGCATAATACTTTGATGCACTAACGATTTATGTCGTTTGTTGCCCTACAAACTTGATAACAGCATTCCCCAGTGGGCTCATTGAGATTCGTACTGTGCGTCCAGGGGGCAAAAGCATTCATGGGTAGAGAGGGGAGGGGGTGTTTTGGGGTTTTAAGGGCCATAAACCCTAAACTCTAAACCTGGAACTGGAATCTTCTTCATTGCCATGCTCGAGCCTTCCGCGGGGAGTTCGAAGCTCAAGGGGGGCGCATTGAAATTCTGGGCGTTCACTTCGATGGCATCAGTGCCCATTCTGAGGGTGTGGGGTTTCAGGATTTGGGGTTTAGGGTTTTAGTGTTGAGTGTTGGGCTTAGTTTGGAGGGGCCGCAAGTGAACCCTAAAACCTACACCCAAACTTTCTTGTAAACTTCCAGAATTTAGACCTTGAAACTCTGAACCCTACCCTGAGCCCCTAAACCCTTTAAAACCCTAAGCCCTAAACCCTTTAAAACCCTAAGCCCTAAACCCTAAACTCCAAACTCTCAACCCTTTAAAACCCTAAGCCCTAAACCCTAAACCCTATACCCTAAGCCCTGAGCCCTAAACCCTAAACCCTAACCCTTTGGCTCAGCTACAGGACCGCTTTAAGCGGGGCCTGGGCACGAAGCGGCTGAGCTGAAGCGGCCACTTGTCCACTTCGTGGAGAGGGGGAAAACCCTGAGCTCGAAGCCCAAAGCCTTTGCATGTTATAGTGTAGTATATCATAAGGGTTTTGGGTCTAGGGTTTAGGATGGTTTAGGTAATAGTACATTGTATGCCAGAATGTTTAGGTACATTGAGGTATATTTTCGTATCATAGCCCTAAGCTCTTCAGTAGACTCTTGAACCCCGTCGTCAAGATGTATTGGCACGTAGCAAGTCAAGGTGCCAACAAGGTTGGTGTTGAACTCCCCATGGTCGTTGAAGTAATCTAGGGGTCGGAAGAATCACCAATAACATGTCCTTATCGTTCCTAGAAAACATTACATGCTGCAGCAGTTTGCCCGCAAAAACCTCGTCAGAACTTCTACAGCTCGTAGTCAGTTACTGGCGGTGTGAGTAACCCCGAGCACAGAACACTACATGACCTAGGATAGAGCATGCTTGCCATGCAGACCTAAACCTAAACTGAAAACCCCTCTTCTACTCTGAGAACCCCTAGCTTTGTTGCCTGCGTAGAAGTGCTCGGCTTGGTCCAAATCGACACAAGTTGTTTGGGCCGCCGCTCGGCGAAACAGCCGGAGCAGGGTGCCGACACAGGGAGTTGGATGCTGCACTGGATCGCAAAGGGCGCGGTGATAAGCAGGGTAATCAATTGTAATCCATTGGCGTTACCTTTAACTAGGATGCCCAGTAGTACCCTTATTCCCTTTTTGTAGTCCTATAGGTTCCTTATAAAGTTACCCAATACCAAAAAGGGAGCCCATTTTTTCCTAGGTTACTGGGCATCCTAGTTAGCTTGTTGAGGTAGATCCCGCAATATCATCTCAAAAGGCTTCCCTGTAGTTCCTCGACAACTCGGCGAGTAGGGATTCGGAAGCATTCGAAAGCCGTTCCGCTATTGCTGATGGACAAAAATTCCTGCATTCCGATAGCCTCTGTACCTAAGTTCCACAGTATAGGGTCATGCTTACGAGAACGCAGGGTTTTTGCATGCGTTTACCAGAAAAATCCGAAAGTATTTCGACCCCACCGCACTACCAGGAGTCGCTGCAGGAATAGTCTAAAAAAGTAGCAAAATCGCAGCTGCAGCCGGTGGAGCAATAAGAATCGACACGAGCAGCAGTGCTGCTACACGTTGGTCACCAGTCAGGTTGTCGCAGTTGCGGCAAATCAGACATCATGAGATTAGCTGTACGTATACATGTGTCTGCACGTGTCGGTATGTAATGTAGTAATGCAATGTAATGGTAATGTGCGCATGCATGCACAGAGTTTAGTAGATAGGCAATCAGGTAGTGAGGGAGGTAGATGTCGGTCATGTAGGTAGGTAGGTACATAGATAGGTAGACAGGCAGGCAGGGAGGTAGGTGGGTAGGTTCGCAGGTTAGCAGGTCGGTAGGTCGGTAGATCCACAGTACATGTTGTATCAGCTCAACGGACGTCACTGGAACCTGTGCTTGCTTCAACCGTTGCTGATCCCAGCCTAGCAGAACATCACGCCGTCCTCTTTCCCGGACTCCTTTTTCTGCTGCTTGGCTGGCCGTTTCACATGAGGGCATTGGAGGCCTAGGAGCAATGCAAGGCCCGCGGCCCAACCCTAAATCAAAAGCCTCACGAAGGCTTGCTGTCGTAGACGGGTAGTAGTTACCGGGTAGAGTAGTAGCAGCCTGAAATTCATGCTCTGGCGGCCGTGTTGCTTCGAGCTTTATGTGGGTGTACGGTGTCGACTTACATAGCAACTTCCGTCTTCCAGCGTCCAAGCCCGGAATCCTCGGCCCCCTTGACTCATTGACCCCGAACCATTGAACCTTAACCACAAGACGTTGCAGGCCTCGACCCGATGCTGGATCGATCATATTGCTACTACTGCCAGTATTATGATTAGCACCATTATTATGACTATTATGATGATGATGATGATTATTATTATTACTATTATTATTATTGATTATTATTATTACTGTTATTTTTAATTATTATTATTATTATTATTATTATTATTACCATTACTACTATTATTATTGCCTGAATTCATGAAAAGAGCCCATGGTTTCGCCGAGGTTCGCCAAGATGGGCAACTGCAACGCGAGCAGCGTGAGCTCCAGCAGCGAGCTGCAGGTCGGAGCGGCGCAGAGGCATCCGAGCCTCATGTCCCTGCCCATGCGCACCTCGCATGCGCTCTGGTGCTTAGGAAAGGGACTTCGATCGAAGCATGTGGCTTTGGTCATGTCTAGAAGAAGAAGAAGAAGAAGGGGTGAGGCATAGGGAAGAGCACTGCGCTTGAATGCGGCTGTAGCTACCTGAAGTCTAGCTGAAGAAGGAGTTTGCAAGAGCCCAGGAACCAACATGAAGTTCGGGTGGAGACCGGACATGCCGGACCACCGTGACCTCCGCGTAACCTTTGACAAGGTTGATGCGCCGAGCCACATCACGAAGAAGTCCGAGGGAGACGGGGTCCTGAGAGCAAGTGTTTGGCTTTAGTTTAGAAATGCTCGTCGGCTTGAGATTGTGTTACCTGCATCACCATCTTGCGTCTTTGTTCGAGGAGAGAAGGAAATCGTTGACCTGCGACCCATGAACGGTGGCTTTCCCATCTTCGATCAGGGACATCTCGGCAGCTGCACGGCAAATGCCTTGGCAGCAGCCTTCCACTTCACCCTCCACAAGATGCAGGTGGAAAACCACAAGGATTTCGCAGACTTCACCCCCAGCCGACTGTTCATCTACTACAATGAACGCCTCGTCGAGGGCAGCGTGAACCAGGACGCTGGGGCGATGATTCGTGACGGCATCAAGACGATGTCCAAGGTCGGGGTGTGCCCGGAGAGTATCTGGAAGTACGATGATGGACCGGATTTCTTCAAGCAACAGCCAGACGACAAGTCTTACGAGCTTGCGCAGAAGTGCAGGGTTATGGGCTATGCTCGTGTCGCGCAAGATCTGAGCCAGTTCAAGGCATGCCTCAAGAACGGCTACCCCTTCGTCTTTGGCTTTGCCGTCTTGTCAAGCTTCCAGACAGCGGAGGTTGCCAGGACCGGCAAGATGGTGATGCCCCAGGCAACCGACCAGCAGCTGGGCGGCCATGCCGTGTGCGCCGTGGGCTACGACGACTTCCAGCAGTGCTTCATTGTCCGCAACTCTTGGGGCGAAGCGTGTCTCGTCCACAAGTGTTGTTGCTGTTTATCGGTCGGTCGTGCTGTCAGGCACTCCGGTGATTTAGGGGCAATTTTGGGACGGATTTGACATGATTTGAGGTGACAGCTGTGTTTGTCTAGTCATTTTTGCAGAGGTGGGGCGACAAGGGCTACTTCTACATGCCCTACGAGTACATGTGCCATCCGGCGCTTGCCTCTGACTTCTGGGCCATCAACTGGGTTGAGGGCTTCAAGAACACCAGCAGCATCTTAGAGAGTGGCAAGCTGCAGATTGGAGGGGCGCCCAGACATCCAAACGTTGTGTCCCTGCCCATGCGCACAAACATGAAGTTCGGCTGGCGGCCAGACATGCCAGACCATCGCGACCTCCATGTGACCTTTGGCAAGGTTGATGCTCCCAGCCACATCAAGAAGAAGGCCGAGGGAAGCCTGACCCTGATGTCAGGAGCACTTTGTTGTGTAGCACACACTTGTTTGTGCGAAGTGACAACTTCATATCTCACTTAAACACCGAATCGGTCAGGGGATTGACTCACCGATTCATGTCGAATGATTGTATACTCCGTGGCCATTTTGGCGAAAGCTGTTACAGCTTGAGCGAAATTTTGTTTCAGTCCCCTCGGATCACTCCTCGGTCATAGCCGCCCGGGCGGCCAGTACCCCGAGCACTACTACGACCGCTGCTGGCGGCCAGTACCTTGAGCACTACGGCTTCTCTGTCAGTTGTTGACAGTCTGAAGGAATCGCTCGAGGAATTCAGCCGCGAGCAAGTTCTCGAAGATTTTCAAGTCGAGAAACCCGAGGATGTGACGTGGGGAGCTTGGAACAAGCGACAATCCCGACAGATACGAAAGGCACTCGATCATATCGCCCAGTGTCAGACGGCGAACGACATTGTCAATCTTGCGGCGACTTTGTTGAAACCGCCCAACCTCGAGGCCTTCCTGTACCTGCACATCACCAACCGCGACGAGTCCGCGGAGCCGCTGACGGTGCCGTTCGAGATCGTCGAGGCTTCCCTACACCCCGACTCCGATCATGCACCCCTACCAGCTGACACCGACGCTGCTCTTCTTGTGCATGAGACCGATCTGCATAATCAGCATTTGGCAGACATTTTTCGTGATGATTTCGGCATGGAATTACATACTCCCGAACCCGCTGCCTCTAAAGCTCGAAAGCGGAACTTCGAAGGGCATCTCAAGCCCACTACTTCGATTACCATCGATTTGGACTAGCCAATTCGTAGCCATGGCACGTACCCGAGCCGACTCATGGTTCGATTTTCTCTGCGAGGGCACGTTGGTGAAGATGACGGCCCCTGTTCCAGAGTCGATGCTTAACGAGTACCCCGAAGTAGTCAGCGACACGGCCCAAGTCCCCATCTCCGAGATACGACGACAGCTTTGTCCCCGCCTTCTCGAGAAGAAGAACTGTAACATGGCCAATTGTGGTTTTCTTCACCCCGATTTCCTCAACAAACAGTGGGTAGTGCCCAACCTCATATGCCACAAATGGTTCCAGGGATGCTGCGAGTACCACAATACGTGCTGGAATCAACATGGCCACACGTTCGACGAAGCTATGCGACAGGCTTTCGTAGTACAGCGACAGAATCGTCGAGGTGAACCACCTTACCATTACTCGTCGAAGAACGGAATCATCGAGCAGGTCAACCGAGCACAGGCTCGTGAGTGGATCATGGACTCGATGACCACTTTCCGTTCCGCCGAGATGCGCAAGTTCAACTTTGGCACAAACTTCCTTCGGTACTACGACTACGAATCGTGGGATAAATCTGATGTTGCCCAACAACTACGACAAGAAATCGCGGATGGCCTGCATCGTCGAGGACGCTCTCCCCGTAGAGTTCGCGAGGAATCGAGACCTCCGGCGACCTGGGGACAACACCCCACTCCGACACGGGGAGCGATTTTCCCGACTTCGAGACCCCGATGGCCCCCTTCAGCGGCTCCCTCGTCAGCCCCTTCTACAGCAGCCCCATCGACAGCACCTCCGGCAGCGTTCCCATCGGCGGCACCTTCGACTACGCCGACTCCGCCGACACCAAGGAGAACTTTCTTCCAGGTCAGCACGGATACGGACTCCGATGCACCCAGCTTCGGCCGTGAACCCCGAACTGCTTTCCGCCACGGCGATGGAGCAGCCAGGGGATCACAACGACCGCTTTCTCCGGCGAGATTCCCGAAGAGATCCCCGTCACCGGCGAAGAGATGGCTCGACTCTAAGACCCCGGTGATCGTCGAAATCCCGGATGAGATCGCCGCTTCGACACCAGCCACGACTCCGGCGGCCCCACCGACTACCACGACACCGCAGACGAGGCCGAGGTCGCCAGATCCTTGGCACGAGGACGATGATTCCGCGACACCACCACCGACTCCTCCGACCGTGGTTACTACAGCCAACCCTGCGACATCGATGAACCCAAGGAGCTCTGGGCCGGTGGCCAATTCCGCGAGTGAATCCGAGTGGATCAACCCATCCTTTGGGGCTGCCGCTACTACGACTCTCGTGAGCACTAAGACCAAGGCCATGCCCAAACGACCACACCCCGACGCCGACAGCTCCGCGGGGTTTGGAAAGGTCGTGCCTCCGAGATTCTCCGTCCACCCTGCTGTGGACTTGACACGAAATGACCCGAGGCAAGTCTTACGGCCAGATACCAACGAGTCGGGGGCGGCCTCTTCCTCGACTATCACGACCTCCTTGGGGAATCCTTACACGAGTGTACCGGTCGCGGTTCAGCCACAACCACCACGACAGTCATGCCTCGAGAGATTCCGAGTGCAGTGGCGCGACTCGCAGGTGGTGGAGAAGGGGCGCACTTCGATCGACGATGTCCGATCCAATGCACCGTCATCACACGAGCCAGTGTTTGGCTTTCAAACACTGCGCCACTTCGACAACTTCCCGATGATGTCGGCGAATTTGCAAGCGATGACGCCGGTGGGTGGCCACAATGTCGCGATGTTGCCACCTGGCAATCACCCCTACTCCTCCTTCGCCTTCGACACTCCATGGGAGATCACATACGATGGCATCATCTACATCGAACAGGTACTCCGATGCCCTACTTTCGGGAGCTACCTCACCCAATACGGCCTTTACATCGACCTCCCGATCCACACCCCGCAAGACGACGTACTGCAGGAACGGGTGTTGCTCCTGGGTGTCCCGAATAACTTCGTGGAACCCCGGACTACCTTGATCTACTCGATGGTGTGGCACAGCATCACCGCCTCTCTCTCCGACCTGAACCATACTTCGGTGGAAGATCGGATGAACCGACTCCGAATTTGGTGCCACACGGCGAGGAATCTCAACACCTTCGCGGCGCAGATGCCATACTTCGAGCCCATGCAGACCTTCTTTCGGGAGCAGGCCTCGGCGATCCTTTCATGCACTTCGAATATGCTCTCACCGGCGATGCGAAGTGCCTTCGCCCAACACGAGCGAATGCGATCGATGATCGCCGCGGAGCCGCCGGCTTTCATCCTGCGATTCCGCGAGAATGCGTGAGCCTTTACACGAGGCCTACCCGACCTTTAGGTCTCACGGTCGCCCCGTTTCCGCCTCGGCGATGTACGGGTGTTTCCGGGTCAGTGACCGTTTCGGTAGAAGGGGACTTCCGCCTCGGCGATGCGTCCACCTGACCCGTAGGTCTCAACCCCCCGAATGACTCGTTACATACGACGACAAGACCAAATGTGCTTGCCTGTAGGACATGTTACTCGGTTGCATCAGGCTCTACTAGTTGTAGTGGGGCCTGCTCTCTCCTTGGAGATTGCTTGGCTTCCGTAGACTTCGACCTCTCAAGCTCGACTCGTGTTACCCGAACCTCCCGATCCACCCGAAGTGATGGCACACTCTCGCCAGTCCCCGATTGAGTCGGATCCGATTGAACAGTTCCCCGAGACATCGGCGACTCAGCTCGATCCCATCGAGCAGTTTTCCCAAATGCCCGGCAGCAGCTCCGGAGCAGTTTTGCCGGCCGCTCGATACCTCGAGGGAGTCCACCCGGACACCGACGAGGGCCGAGCACTGAAATTACAACGAAGGCTCTACGATGACCATCACACCCAGGGAGCCTTGGAGGTCATCGCTTTCAGACGAGCCTCCGAACAGCTCGCGATGTCATCACTACGAAAGCAGTTCCCGAACTCGACAGACTCCGAGCTGGCGGCGATTTGGCGCCGACAACTTACCGGCGAGGAGGTCGACGAGAACGGCATGCCCATCGAGCTCATTGGTCGCGATGGGACATCGATCGAAGATCACCACAAACGCGATGTCGACCGAGTCGAGATGTACCTCAAGTACTTCAGCACTCCGGCCAACGACAAGCTCCACGATGGATCCATCGATTGCACCTTTTGTGGTCTGCTGTTTCCGCCTTACTATCTCCTCTCGGTTAACCCCGACGGCCAGGACGACTGGCGCAACATCCACTACAGGTGTTGCTACCAGTGCGCAACCGGGGCCAACGAGGACTTCGTGTGGTACGCCGAGAACTCCGACTTGTCACCGGCCAAGATAGGACTACGAGGCAACCTTCGAGACCTTCCCTATAACCACAAGGACCGTCGACAGCTCTACGATCGCGACGACAACCACGAAGTCAAGCCGCCTGGGTGGCACATCGCGATCGAGCGAACGCATGGATTCTACTGCAAGGTCTTCTTCGACAACTACTGGGATACCGCGAAGTGTCGTTGGGTCCGGAAGCCGACATTCGTCCGCAAGAACTCGACCCGCTACGACACGATCAGCATCCCCGACTGGTACACGATTTGCCAGAAGGTCAACTCCGTGCGCAAGCAGATCAACCTCGAAACCTCGAGGAAGCGAGCCGCTTCGTGGAAGCAAATGTGCGAGGACATCGAACGCGAAAGGCCTGGCGACAGCAAGTCGAACATTCGACGCGAGGTACGAAGTCGAATACTACGACTCACCGACATTTTCGTCGCGGACCTCGCCAAGCTTGACTCCGACCAGAAGCAGCGAGTGTTCCAAGCCTTCGCCCAGTGGGAGGTCACGACCGTCGCTCGATCCATCGACCCGAACTGGAACGCCGATGAGTTCTGGAACATGGTTACCGCCGAGGCCCCACTCACCGATTGGTTGTTTCGTGTCTCCGACAGCATCGACCAACACTTCGTCTGTCGCTCGAAGGATTGCACCGCGGTGATACACAATCACCATTGGCTCCGACAGATCTCGTGGGACTACTCGATTTCCTCGCAACACGGTCGGTACTCTTGCCCGCGATGTTTGACCGCGTATAGACCTTGGGCACTTCGAAACAACGCGGCATCCACGAATGCACCGACCTTTGTGCCCGCCCAGAAGGCTCTGATCATCAACGGTGACGGCACCACCCTCGAAGTCGATGCCACGGTT